TGCTCTCCAACATATAAATGGAAAACAAGAGTCCTATTTTAAGATTTGTATGGTAATAAACATGCATTTCTATATAGCTTTTTGTTGACAAGGATGTCCACTTTGTGCAGGATTGAGTTAAGCCCAGATGACAGATTCTGCCAATGTCTGGGGTTGGCACAAGATCATGAGCCATTCACAACTTTGTAGATTCAAACAGCAATTCTTTATTCCCGAACTCACACCGGCCTCTGCAAATACGTTCAGGGGAAATCTCCGTTCTGCCCGCACAATTCACATCCCACTTATCAACTATGGGGTTTGAGGGCCACTCAGCTGTCTTCATCGGTGAGGCTGTTGGTTGAATTATGCCCTCTGGTAATAAAACGGAGTTAGTAACAGCCTCTTGTTGTGGCCTTTTTCCTAATAACCCCTTTTCCTTTAAATTTTCTTCCTCTGTCTGACTAGCTCGAGAGACCTTCTCTTTTGCTTGATCTAAAATGTCTTTCTCCATGGTCTGAACCTCTAACAATTTACTTAACACCTTTTCGGTTTCTTTTTACTAATTTCTAATCTTCTATAAAGATAACGCAACCAAATAAGATAACACAAAACAAAACCGAAACTGAATGAAACAAAAACAGAATAAAAATTAGATGTATCAATTTTCTCTTCCACAGGACTGACAAACTTCAAACTTTGAGCCAACCTTTTTTCCCAGTTTGCCTGAGAAATTCCTAGGTATATGCAGCTTGAAACAAAAATGAAATAAATCAAAACAAGAACACATTGTTTTTGAAATGGTCACCCATTTTTTTGCTCTCCTTCAGGAGCGAGAAAATTCACTTACCCCCAAGCTTCAGACATCCCTCGTACGGACGAGCTTGGGGGTAAGTGAATTTGCTCACTCCTGAAGGAGAGCAAAAAAAAAATGGGTGACCATTTCAAAAAACAACATGTTCTTGTTTTATTTATTTTGTTTTCATTTCAAGTTGCCTGTTCCTAGAACTTTCTCAGGCAAACTGGGAAAAATGGTTGCACCAAGGTTTGAAGTTGTTCGCCTCTGAGGAAGAGAAAATTGATACAGCTAATTTTTATTCCGTTTTTGTTTCATTCAGTTTCAGTTTTGTTTTGTGTTATCTTATTGGGTTGCGTTATCTTTATAGAAGATTAGAAATTAGTAAAAAGAAACCGAAAGGTGTTAAGTAAATTGTTAGAGGTTCAGACCATGGAGAAGGACATTTTAGATCAAGCAAAAGAGAAGGTCTCTCGAGTTAGTCAGACAGAGGAAGAAAATTTAAAGGAAAAGGGGTTATTAGGAAAAAGGCCACAACAAGAGGCTGTTACTAACTCCGTTTTATTACCAGAGGGCATAATTCAACCAACAGCCCCACCGATGGAGAGAGCTGAGTGGCCCTCAAACCCCATAGATGATAAGTGGGATGTGAATTGTGCGGGCAGAACGGAAATTTCCCCTGAACGTGTTTGCAGAGGCCGGTGTGAGTTCAGGAATAAAGAATTGCTGTTTGAATCTACAAAGTTGTGAGTGGCTCATGATCCTGTGCCAAGCCCAGACATTGGAAGATTCTTGAGCAGTTTGAAATGATGTGTTTTTATCAAATCTTCATAAATCAAGATTAAGATCTGTTATAAAGCAGGCCTGACCAAGAAGAAAAACATTCAAATGACAAGTAAATATATAAATAAACACATAAACTAATGTTATAGAAGTTAACATTCAGTATACACACACACACACACAATATCAGTAAAGCAAAATTGAATAAAAAGTGGAACAAATAAAACATAATTTAAAAAACTGATGAAATTGTAGAAAGATTTCATGTGACTGGAATTGTCAAATGTTTATTGTGACCACACAAATTTGTAAAGCTACTTGGAAATGGTTTTATACTACCTACTGAAACATACTATGTGAATTATCAATTCCACATCAAGGTGGGAAGAAAAAAACACATAACCAATTCACCTGACTCTTTCTCTTGGGAACTATGCAAGAGTAACCTTCTTCTTTCTCCCCTACATTATTTCTCCCACCAAAAAAACTATCCCTTACCCTCATGCTACCATTGATCCACCATTAGACTTTTTATTTATTTATTTTTATTTTTTAGAAATTTATTGGTTGCTCAAAACACTACATTGATCTTGACACATCA